CATAAATGGGTTTTCCGAAAGTCGTGATTTATTTTTTCTTTAATTGAATCCTATAGTAAAAATGTCAAATTTTAATAATTAACATAAGTTTTATTTTTATATGACGTATTTAAGTAAAAAAAATTATCAAAGTTTATATGTCTCTGATTTCACGTATTTCGGTTACTTTTGTCGTGATTTTTAAAGACTGCTAATGTAAAGTTTTAGTGTAAAACCTATATAACGTCATATCTTCTCAAAAAGCTTGTTTAATGGAGAACCTAATTCAGGTATCAATAAGTAATTTCATGGTTGTATTTTAATAATAAACGTGGGATTATCCGATGACATCAATTTCGAGATTTTTTTAACTTTGGCTGGAGTTTTAGCAGTTAGCGATGCTCTAAAATACATATAATTTTAAAGACTAGTTATTTCTTTAAAACATATAAAAAAAATTAGCTGCCAACATTTGCCTATTTAGAAGTTATGAGCAGAAAACTAAGAGAGTCCACGTCACGCATGGACGTGTTATTTTTATTTACTGACGACATACATAGCTTAAATGCAATATTGCTTTTCTTAAGTTAGGTAGTTTAAACTTGGCATACAGAACTATTAGATTAATTGACGAAGAAACTGGTAAGGTAGTGTGGCAAAATCCTGTTCCCTCTTCTGTGCGGTTTTGTCGACCAATTTTAATCGAGTTTTCTAAAGAGATTCCCGAGAAAACAAAAGCCGTTGTGGATAATATACAAAGCCAAATTGATAGTTTGAGTCCATCGGTAATTACAAAGCAAGGAAAAGCAATACAAATCAAACATGATATGTTTCTCACCATGATAGATGGAAAAGTTGCCCAAATAATAACAAGTACACCTTCATGTTCCACATGTACTATTTGCGGTGCTAATCCACGGCAAATGAATAATTTAGAAAAGGTGGCAGCAAGACCAGAAAATGATAACGCATTTCGCTATGGTTTATCAACACTACATGCCTGGATACGTTGCATGGAGATGATTTTACGCATATCATATAATCTACCCTTCCGAAAGTGGTCTGCTACTACCGAAGAAAATAAAAAATTAAAAAAAGATAAGAAAGCTTTGGTCAAAGCAAATAAGTGGTAATACAAACGATTCTTTTATAATGCTTCTTCTTCAGCAGAAATTACCGGTGTCGATGAAATATTGATTAAGCGATTTTATATAATTCTTCAGGCGGTGTTATGGTAGATCCAGAAAAATTTGGAGAATATGCGATAGAAACGGCAAAAATATACATTAAAAATTATGACTGACATTTTGCAATGTTACCTATTGGACAGCTATCAGAAAATGCACAGGAATCTCGAAATAAAGATTACAAAAAATGTAGATTACATCATGTACGAAAATGTTCTAGATATGTTACAAATGAAGATGTATTTCATACACTCGTTTATACATCAGACCCATACATAACGAATATTAGAAAACAGTGCATTAAAAATGTAAAGAAACTTGACGAAGAAACCCTAGATCTTTTAACACAGCATCACCTGGTTACTGAAACTTGAACTAGTTGAACAGTGTCAGGCAATGATGGAATAGTGGACGAGTTAAACATTATTATACATTGTATTATAATATTTATATCTCAGATAGAGATTATAATCTGTTAGGGTTTTTTCAAAAACAATATTACACTATAATATCGGTAATACTCATAAAAAGGTATTTTTTGTATTTTTTTTTTCTTAAACTCCATTATAATAACAAAACTAGAGTGCTCTACACTCGACTTTCTAACATTTTTATACGACTGAAAAATAAATTTTTGGAAAAATACCTTTCAACGGGCACTAAATTCAAAATAACTGTTGAATTTTTTTTTAACTCCCATATTCAAAATCGCATGTGGCGGTGATTTGTTAAGTAAAATACTACTTCCGATTTCATGATTTCAATGAAATTTTTTATCTATACGTTTTTCAAAGTTATAAAGGCTTATAAAAATTTTTAACTATTTATTTTACTAAATACCAGTTTATATGAAACAAATAGGTACAGGTTCAGGTAAAGTACTACTTCCGGTTATGTAAGGTGGTAGAAATTTTGTATCTGACAGTTATTCATTCTTAATCAGATTTTTACAAAATTTTATTTGTTAATCTCTATTTGCAAGTTTATATGAAACAGTTTCAAAATCTGTTAAAGTAAACTGCTACTTCCGGTCGACCGATTTGTCCCAAAAGTTGGTAGATATCAACAGTCTTACTTTAATAACCGCATATCGAATTTCATCGAAGTAGATAATTGCGTCTTTGAGTTATCGTGTTTACGAACGCACGTATATAATACATACTATATACTAACACATACATATGTACAGGTGTCCCAATTTCGATGTCCGCATAGGCCATCTCCGAAACTAAAAGAGATAGAAAAAAAGTAGCTTACATGTCATGATCTCGTTTTTCGAGAAAATGCTAATGCCGAAAACTCCGAACAGCTATCGTCTTTTGTTTTCACCCTATCGGTAAAAACTGAAACTGAGTGAGATATTCGCGAATGTCGTTTTCGCAAAATTTTCAGTTTTTGCCGATAGGGCGAAAACAAAAGACGATAGCTATTCGGAGTTTTCGGCATTAGCATTTTCTCGAAAAACGAGATCATGACATGTAAGCTACTTTTTTTCTATCTCTTTTAGTTTCGGAGATAGCCTATGTGGACATCGAAATTGGGACACCTTGTACAGATGTATTGCTAAAATGGTCAAAATAGATTCTAGGACCATCCAATGTAAAGATTCATCGCAGCCTCGACAGGGTAGGTTGGGACAGTAGTTTGTCTTCATATAGTTCATATATACGAGGAATAAAAATAATAATAAATAATAACAAACAATAATAAAAAATAATAAAAAGAAAATTGGTACTCTTACTTACTGTAATGTAGAATATTCGTACCAAGTTTGAAAGGTTTATCTTTAAGAACAAGAAAGTTATTGATTTTTGATCAGCAAACGGACTAAATTTTCCATAGTGCGGTGGTACCTTCTCCAAGTGATATGAGGAGACGGAGCTGTAAATCATTAGAAAATACTCCCGCTCCTGCACCAGTCTACAAGAACCATCAGCGTAGATTTTAAGGGTGTTGTTTCCATCTACTTCTGTGGAACCGCAATGAGTGAGGCATTTCCTTGAAAATGTGAATTTTACCGGTATATAGTTCGTGCAGCATTCTAATAGAGGTGTGTTGTACGCTTTTCTTTCTCCAGTTATGGCTCCTTTATGTAATTCCTCACACTATTATAATACTGCCAAGATTCGTCTATTTTCAGTGATTTATACCTTTTATATGCTTTTTTGCGAGTTTTCTGCATCTCTTTTATCGTGTCTGTTATCCAAGGAGTCGGAGCAACTTATATTTTAAATGTTTTAATAGCCCCTATTAAAAAATATACATTATATTGATGCCCCATCAATATCAAAAAGTTTTAAAATATTTTCGGATAAAAAATGTACTTTGTCATCTATGTCCGCCGTATCAAAAATTTGAAAAAAAAAGGATAACTAAAGATCTAAGAAGAAACTCTCATAATTAAAACTAGAAACATATCTCTGTGATGGAGTGTGTACCGCTATCAAAACTTTTCATAGAAAATTATTACTCAATTAATATACAATTTCGAGTTCGACATATATGGTCCTACATGGTAATCAATACAGCTGGTACCAAAACCATAAAACCAATGAACCACTTATTGGATTAGGTGTCTTGTAATTAATACCAGAGAAAGACGACGCCAATAATTATTAATTTTCTGTGGCAGAACTGTTAGGACACATTGTAGAGTGGGTGTTTATATTAAAAATGGGATAAAGTTTGATGTTTTGTTTCGATAACTAACACTTTACTTATACAGTTTATGGTTGTTGATACTTGTGCTGACGCATTTTATCTTGTTTCTTTATGAATTTGAATCTACGGTCAACTCAGTGAGTAATTAATCTGATTCTTTAATTAAGTTGGTAACAAAACCCTTCATCGGGTGGTATCGAAATTAGGTTGCTTTTGAGTTGTACTATCACGAGACCTAGACAAAATGCTACTTTTACTTCAATATTATTTTTCTCCATATTTTCCTGATCAAACTCGATGATTATAATATATCATTTAAAAGTGAAAACTACGAGCTTTAATTTAAAATAGATTTCATTTCTTTGTTTTCATAATCAACTGATCCACGAATTTCTGAATTTCTTTATCTTTAAAGTTTTTAAGGTACGTTCGCTGTTACTAAAAATTTTTTACCTCCATATTTTCTTTATCCAACTCAACGGATGTTATATACGTCTTCAAAAAGAAGACTTTCAGCTTTAATTCAAGATAAACCTCATTCCTTAATCTTCATAAGCAATGTTTCCAGGATTTTTAAATATTCATAATTTTTGATACTTTTTAAAATAAAAGTAATTTAATGAAAATGCCTTTTTTCAATATTATTTTTTCTCCATATTTTCGAATACAAACCAATAATTGTTATAAGTCATTTGAAAGCAAAAAATTTGAGCATTAATTTAAAATCTCTTAGTTTTCATAAACAACTGTTTATGAACTAATTTTTGTATTTTCACCGTAGGCTTCCAATGGTGTTATCGCCTTGCAAGCCCTATGTTTATGAATCACATTTACTTTCTTCACTAATCAATAAATCATTATGTTGGACTAAAAATATCAGAACTTCATATCGTTTATCTATATTAAATATGTAAAAATTTTTAATTTGGATTAATTGATAAATTTAGTAATGCTTGAAATGTAAGGTATTAAATATTTGAAATATCGTGAATGTCATATCTTATAGGAAATCGTTATTAATTAATCAAGTTATTATCAACGAAATAATGTATAAAATTCTTCCACTTTAAATACTTTTATGAATCAACGGAAATGTACCATCAAAATCGATAATTAGTCACTCACGTTATAAAAGCACAATGCTCGCCTCAATTTTACTATTCGCAAGCGCATTGAAGAGTTGTTAATTTAAAACTAAATTCTTGATTCTCCTTACCTAGTTAAGTGAATTAAAAAATAATTGTAAGTATTATTTCGAATTTATAATTATTTAATTAATTTATATGTTCCCTTTTCAATTGAATTAGAAAGAATTTGGCCGGGTTTTCAGAATTATGGAGGCCATTTCTTTCATACTTCTATTGGTTATTTCAATGGCATGTGGTAACCACCATGTTTCCGAATATTCGTCAAGTATATCAAACGAAGATGTCAATGATGCAGCTATTGAAGAAATTGAACGTTATATTCGTAAAATTCGTTATACTCAAAACGATTACGGCAACATCAAGATGAATCAAAATATGTCTGAAAATTCTACTGAACTAAAAAACGAAGAAACAACACATTCTAGACATTTATTAATATCGGACCTATTTCCAGAAGATATAAATTCCACCATACCTCTAATGGTACCGTATAATGATTCAGAGAAGATAGCTGATGCAACTTTAACGCCAGCTACGTGGGATCATACCAATGTGCAAATTAATCCAAGTTTACCAGATGCTCACGCGGAAGAATCTTATCCAGTCAATCAAATTGGAGAAATCCCAATACTTCCAGCTCATGGTTTATCTGATCCAGTTCCTATAATAAGATTAACATTTGGCCGCTTCAACATCAATTATACCGATAACAAAATGAATACCACCGAACCAGTTATTGATAATAATATGCTCAAACAGGAAATAAATACAAATAACTCTGAAAGCTTGAGCCAACCACAAATATTATTCGACCTAATCGATAACACAAATGATTCTCTGGAACAAACGCCTAAAAATACGAAAAGTTTTAATATTGTCATACGTTTCAAAAGAAGTCTTAAAAGTAAGAGACATCGATGGTCGTCGATTCTAATTAATGGCGATTATTCAACTCCTCAACCATGCCAAAACTGCAGATCAACAGTCACGAGCAAGTCAACATCTGTAAACCTTCCGATAACTACAACTGAATCGATAACAAAACAAGTACCTAAAGATTATAACGTGCAGGTGAATAGTGTAACTAAAAATGATGAAGCACAAAAGGATCTGCCTTTATCTACTATAATTGCCCCAACATATCGACCATGCTTAACATGTAGACCAAGAACTACCAGTAAACCAGTATATACACCAAAAGGCCGAAATGGAAAAGGGCGTGGATATTACTACAAATAATATCTCTGAAAAGTTAGTGGACTGAATTGAATGAATTGTCTAACAACCGAATTGACAACATATGGACTATATCTATATGGCCAACATGCCACCATTTTTATTATTTTATTACTCTTCATGACTAAATATAGATCAAAATAATGTTTTCCATTATTCATAAAGAAACTTGATATTATTGTATATGTATAACCTTATTATATTATTGATTTTATACTAATCAAATAAAGATAAATCAAAAGCTATTTCTTTTTGTTATTGCTTCCTGGCTAAACGTCTGTTCTTAGCTTCAACGTGCTAAGAACATGACAGCTTTGCGAATGATGACAGCTTATTAGAAAAGACATTAAAAATCTGTTTGCAAAATAAGGAAAAAAAGATTACAAGAAAGAGTTTTTGGCAACAAGGCAAAAGCATCCCTGGAGAATATTCAAAATGAATTTTTATTGAGTATCTTCTAAACACAATTATTTTCTTCACTTTCTATAGTGTGTGTGATTTTAATTGTCACGGCAGATACCTCGACTATTGAATGATTATTTATGTAAAATTGAACCATACTCGATATCAGAGTATCTGAATTATAGTTGAGTTATAAGAAGTACAGTTTGAATTTTTTGTTATTTGGTCCTAAGGTATACTACTGTTCTTTGTGACGTTTGACGTTCTGTTCTTTATTTTATTTACGTCAATAAATGTATTATTGTCATTATGAACGATTCGAAACGTGTACCACTGGTACCGGAAATACGACAGGTTTCACAAACGTAGTTATATTTAGCCAGGCCCACACAATCTACATATTCTCTTCTCATTCCTGAAAAATTATAAGAAATTTGTAAACCACAGAACATCTTCGAAAATATTTAGATATCTTTAGATAACTTTATTTTATCAGAAATTATAAATTTTCTAGAATGGATATCGAATTATTTGACAGAAGCAACCCAACGAGCCATTTAGAAAATGGAACTGTTGTAAAAAATAGCATATTCCGTTTTCATTAAATCATCCACTATAAAAAAAACTGGGTGATTATTTATTTTTATCTGGTGGGCGCTGGTTAACAACAAAATCTTGGTTTTACGTTTCCATAAACTTTATTATTAATTTCACTTAAACTATACATATAAATTGCGATTAATTATATAGGGAGCCTTGCTCCGCGTGTATTGAAGGGGTACTGTTTCGGTGGGTGTTAAATCGAAGACTGAATAACTGATACAAGTTGAGCTCGCAGGCTCCTTCTTTATTTTAGGTCATAACTAAAAACCCTTACCTAAACACCGAAATATACACCCCAACGCATTCCCACACTTCACTCAACCCAATAAATAATGCGATAAAAAACCCTAATCTTGCGACTCGAGACACTTCAAATCTAGACTAAACAAATGAGGCGATACAAATAAATCCAATATAACTGAACTAATATAATATAAACCTATCAAATCTAATATAAATTAACCAATATAATATAAAATCTAACACTGGGTACCTACATAAAATTAGCTGTGTAGATTACAGCTGATGCATAAAGTCTTATTGTAATAACACCATCATAAAAATCCCATTTTATTTCACTTAAACCCGTAATGATCTTTCTTAATGTCATTGAAAAGTGCATTCGTTGCTACTGAAGGTTTCATTAAAAAATCGAAACACTTGGAATCAATCGTAAAATTGACGTTACAGTGAGTTTGTCTGCAGCTAACGGCTTACGCGGTTGCGTTGGGTTGTTGTTGGTTCTTATACCTACTTCAATAAGAGAGAATTTATTAGTGAGTCTTCCACACGTTTTTAATATTAACACTATTTCAATATTAAACTAAGATTAGAACTAAAACTAGAACTAACACTAGAAACTTTCGGGTTTTGCCGTGCGTCTTTTAATAAAAGGTTTGACGTTTCGGATGCCATGTTGCAACCTTCTAAAAATTCAATTCGCAAAATTCGGAACACACTCCCGATAGCCAAGGACAAACTAACTCCATTAAAAGGAGCGGGAGTCTATCGACTATCGTGTAGTTGTGGGAAGGTTTATGTTGGCCAAACTGGACGCAACGTCGAGTGCCGCATCAAGGAGCATGAGAGGGATGTAAGGCTGAAGAAGATCCAGCAGTCGGCGGTTGCGGAACATTGCCATGCAGAGGGGCACCGAATAGACTTCGAACAAACAAAGGTACTGGCTAGGGACAACAGATACTACCAAAGACTGACAAGAGAATCCATAGAGATTCACCGACATAATAATAACGTCAACAGAGAGGATGGCTGGGAGCTTAGCAGAACATGGAAGATGGTGGTGAACACGAAGACCTCTTCCCGCCTCACACCGGACGCGACGCAATTAGTTATTAATTAGTTAGTAATTAGCGTTAACTGATTATTAATTAGTTTTTCCGACTTATATATAATTACCGATTTTTTGATCTCGTCACTTCGAACCAGTTTCTGAAGAAGGTTGCAACATGGCATCCGAAACGTCAAACCTTTTATTAAAAGACGCACGGCAAAACCCGAAAGTTTCTAGTGTTAGTTCTACTTTTAGTTCTAATCTTAGTTTAATTCACACCGGCCGTGAAAGCCTTCGTACTTACACTATTTCAATACTCAAGTTCAAGCCGATTCTTATGTTTCATACTTAATTTTAAAGGTTTAATAGAATACCAAGTGTAATTGGATCTCAAATTAACCCCACCATTAAAGTTGCGTAGAACAAAATGACGAAAACATTTGGTTTTTATCTTCTGGAAGATTATTTTCGAAAATACCACTGTTGGTCCATTTCGCGTGGTCTTCGAGGACTCGGCCCGATAATTTTAATTGGTATTAATATAGTGTGGGAAATGTACCCTTTACTAATAGAACTTCAAAGTGGGTGTTATTTAACAATGAAGAGAAACACATAATTTTTTTTTTAATGATTTTAGATTACACGAAGAGTTTTGAAAAAATTTTATTTCATATGGGGTTTTCCGCGTTGGTGGTATTAGTCGTTTGTTGTAACATTCAGTTTCATCGCAATCAACAACGTTTAACACAAATGATTAATTTATTGAGTGACTTTAATTTCCGCAATCCAGAAGGAACAAGATTTCTTGATAAAAAACTGAAAACTTCATTAAAAATAATTTATTATGGAGGATTTTTTATTGTGTTTTTTACTACAAACAGTTTTTTGTTGAATGTTAATTGCAACAGTTTTAAAAATACCGAGCATTGTTTAATAATGGTATATTACTTTCCGTATCAATTAACACATTGGCAAATAACATTATTGATGTTCTTTCAAATGTATACTTTGTGGGTTACACTCAATGTTTTACTACTTTTTGTCTTATTAGCTTGGTATTCCATAGAAATCTTAATCCTACGTATAAAAAGTCTTAATGAAATGATTGGTAACATAAGTTTGATAAACAGTAAGGAAGTAAATTTTAAATCTTTGCGTCCTATTGTTCTTTATCACCAAGATATATTCAGGTATTGTGATCTCTCATTGATGATATTTCATACCATTCACCTTTTAAATGTTTCTCTTGTTTTAGAGTGTGTAATGTCGTTATAAAATTCTTTACTAGTTTTCTAATACCAACAAAAATTTTAGTTTCAATTTGTTTAACCACGTCTATTATCGAATTTGCATTGGTACGCATTTTTATAAAGAATTATAGTCTATTAATTAATATAATATAATACTTTTAGAAAAGGGATTTAATAAGTTTTTCTCTTATCACAATGACCTTCTCTTCGTTATTGGTACTTCATACAACTGCACAAAAAATCACAACTGCGGTATAAATAAGAATTCGTATAATAAAATAATATTAACATATTTTTTGTAATAGACTAGTAGTGTGGCGGAAGCAGTTTATGATTTGAACTGGTATGAAGCCGATGTGTCTACACGAAAAGATATTCTAAACTTATTGTGTTTTACACAAAAGAGGTTCGCTATTGAATTACCTGTATTCGGTGAAATGTCGCATGCAGCAGCAGCAAAAGTAAGTAAATTATTCTGTTATAGATTAAAAATAATTAAACTGGCATTTTTAAGCAATACAAGATGGTTTATCTTTTTTATAATTGGGTATTAAATGTTACGAAGAAACGATACATATAGACATTTCTTTTTTTAATTATTTAGCACTTAATTATGATATCTAATTCGAAATAATGTACAGGGTGTCCAAATTTCGATGGGTTTGCAGGGTATCGCAGTTATTATGAAAGATAAAAAGTTGCGGCTATCCCAATTTCGTTTAGTACAATATAGTTTTCTAATGTACAAATATTATTGCTTTATTTATGCTGAAAAATAAAAATTAGTGCTGAAAACTGTAACCAATATTAAATAAAATGAGTAAATTAATAATAATGATGTTTAACTAATCTAAGGGTACCTACGTTTATGTTGGAGCTGCGATAAACGATAAGAGCGACGATACTAGCGAAGCAAAGAAAATGTTGTCATTATTTTATATGCAGTTGTGTATATTGGAGTGCCGCGTTGAGACGCGCGTCGCTATATATTAATTCATAAAAATGAATTTTGCGCTGCTCTTATCATTTATTGCAGCTCTAACATAAACGTACTATAACGTACTCCCTCTCTATCACCAATATTACCACCAACTCCAACATCCCTTGCATCTACATCTTCAGCACCACAACATTCTCTGTCGGAAGTAAGCAAGCAGCCTGATAATTCTGAAGTAGAACTGCCCGAAATTCTTCCGACTGCTAGAAAACAATGTAGTAAAAAAAGAAAATCTTGTACATCTGAAAATGATGCCGATAAAGCAGTGGCAGCATATTACGTTACGAAAAAAAGTCACTTGGATCTAAAGACGCAAGGAAAGAGGCACTTTGAGACTTTTTCAACAGCATTGTGCCCGACATCTAGCCACTGACTGATAAGACTCCACTGACACTGACTTAATTCATGACATAATAAGTAATAACACCATGTTAGATAATGTTCCTCAAAAATTTCCATCAGAAACAGCGTCGCTAACTGGTAGCTTCCTTTCAACATTCGATCCCACTCCTACAAGTAATGAATATAATCCTCCTTTAACTGCTGAACCACAACTAGAAACGAACACTTTTCAGTACCATCAATTATAATCCTAATAGAGATGTACATATTATATTTATTTTTTGAAAG